ATGTGCCATATCAGAGTAAGAGTTAATATTGAGTTGATATTTGTTTGTTAGTTTTTGACTCACATTAATGCTGAGAATTATGAAAACAAGTGAAGTGTAAATTTAGAGAAAAATGTCCAGTTTACTAGATGTGTAACATGATATTATTCTGTAGTATGATAATAATGTTTTTCACCAATTTTGCAAGATAAAAGCAAGCACAGCACATTTAGTATCTTTACTATATGAAATTGTCTGAACAAACTATAAATATAAATATAAACTATGAATGAAAATATAATAAAATACAACAAAAACAATAATAATAATTTGTTATGTGAAAATACATTGTATTTAATATGGACACTGTATTATAAAATGCACTGCAGTATAAAATGAGTCCAAATATTTGGTATACTGGACATCACGTTTCCATTACAGATTTATATATTTTTATATAAAAAAATTCACATTTAATATTAGCAATATTTTATAATGGCAAATACTTTATATATAAGAGTTTTCTTTCCATATAAATTTAAAAAGTCCATACTTATCGTCTCAGGTTACTTATGTAACCATGGTTCCCTGAGTAGGGAACGAGACACTGCGTCCTCTAGGGGGCGCTATGGGGAACGCCTCGTCGTGACCCGTGTCTGAAGCATACATTGTAAAAACACCAAACTCGTTGGCCGGCGACAGCCATGACGTCACTACCGGTGTGACTATAGTATAAATAGGCGCCGGGAGCACACATCATTCACTTCTTCGTCTGAAGCTTGAGTCCACAGCATGGCAAGAAACCTAGAGGACGCAGTGTCTCGTTCCCTACTCAGGGAACCATGGTTACATAAGTAACCTGAGACGTTCCCTTTCATGGGAACTTCGAACTGCGTCTTCTAGGGGTCGCTATGGGTAACGGTATACCCACGCCACCATGTTGAGGGGAGTGCAAGCCAGAACCATGGCGAGCACTAAGTACCAACTCTACCATATCGCTATGGGAGTCGCCCCTGGGACGTTAGACGGCTGTCAGTGACGTTATTCCCTACGGCCAAAGGCCTAGGCTACATACCCCAAAATACTTACCTGTTAGGGCCACACTCCTGGGCCCGGGGTAGAGCTCAAGGCTTGGAATCA